ACCGCTTTCAGGAGGAGAGCGGGAGCGGCAGATTGGGGCTGACAGCTGTCCCATTATGTCTGACTGCTGGCCCGCTAATGACTCAAACGGCGCGGCTGCACGGCGCTGCTCCGTTTCCCGCTTGACGGGCGTGTCAGGGAGCGCGCGCGCGCGCGCGTGTGTGTGTGGGGGCGTGTGTATGCGCGTGCAGCCGGGGGTCTCTGACTGGCTCGCCTTCCCCATACTACAGCTACTGTTCCAGTTAATGCCTCGGATATTAGCTTTAGAATAAAGAGATTTTATTTGTTCCTTCACCAGCTTCAGCTACATATTATTACAATGCTGAGCACCTGAACAGAACATAATGCTTAATGTTGTAGGCGGAACCTGTGACTTGGCGGGGCACGGTCAAAAGGACAGCCGTGATTGGCCAATTTTTAAATACAATAATCGGCGTATTAATGACGAGACATTTAATGTATATTTTCAATTAAGGTTCTGGATAATCAATTGTTAACACTGATGAATATATATGCGTAATCATTTTAAAAATATTTGATTTATTGAAGGAATAAGTATAGAATTGGATTAATACATTAAACCCGTTCAAAATTGTCCACAATTGTGAAACATTTTTGTGCCTCGTCAGATGGTTATAGACAGATTATTTCCACAAAACTCCATAGAAATGTTGGAGTTCAGGGGTACCAGAGCTAACCTGAGATAAAGCATTTTGTACTCATTCATTTTGCTTACCTAACAATTAGTCATTTACCATCCACTACCGGCAGGGTAATTAAGCAGCAATTTTCATGCGATTAAAAGACAATTTGATAAAGAGCCACATTAAAGCCCACTGGATCTTCTTTAACGAGACTTGAACAAATAAACAGCAGCACTAAAATTTCACGCTGTAGCTGTTCTGTTTTGGTGCTGCTAGATCCCAAGACTAAATGCAGCGTCTTATAATAGGTGACCAGCCTCTGATGGACCTTGGATGGAGCTCTGATCATTTCAGCCCCGATGGTTCAATAGCTTCCTGGGTGATGAACTTAAAGGATTCACAGACTGAGAGTTTTATTGTCACACGTACAGCTGTCAGAGACCTTTAAACATCCATTTGATCATCTCCTTTGTCCCGTAAAGGGTCACCGTCAGCCTGTACCCTCCCCTAGGATCACAGGCAGGGGACACTCATTAAAATGGTGCCCTGAAAGATAGCAGTTGGATCTGAATATACATTTTTATGAAAATACTCATTACCGTTGGGCCAGTGGGACAGGGAAATATGTATCTTTGTATTTACTCATAAAAATGCAGGGACAGAAGACAGGAATCCTGATCTGAGTACAGTCTGTTCAGGCACAACGACCATCTACTCTCTTGAGTATTTGATGCACCCTGTAATTTACGTCATTTAGATGTTTACACAATGTTCAAAGTCCAACGGTGAACAGGCTTTTCAATCTCTTCAATCTTTTTCCTACCAGATGAAATGTTCTTACTCTGCTGATCTACAGTTCCATTGCATAGCTGCTGTCACCATTTAAAATCCTAATTAATTAAGTTAATTAAAGCACCAAAAAGCATATTTCTTAAGGATGTAGAAGCCCTGCCCTTTTACCCTTGAGCAAAGTAGGTCGTTGGAATGAGTCCAGTGAAATATGCAGTCAAATAAATGTGTGAGAGAGACGGTGGTTTGGATTGTATAAACATGACGTGATTACTGTGTTTGTGAAGGGCTGCTAATGTCCACCCTCTCTCTACAAATGTTAGCAAGGAGGAAGTAGAAGGAGTATAGGGGAAAAGTCTGGGTGATGCTGCAGACTTGGCAGATGGAAGTCGTGACCTCTGGAAGGGAGAAGCAGAAGAAGATGAAGAAAACGTTTCTGTCCCCAGGCACCCAAGCAGCCTCAATCTCAGGCCTGATTGGCGATGCTGCAGATCAGTCCGCTGGAGTGACACGTGGAGGAAGGCAGCCCCCCCCCCCCATGCAGCGGTGGTGGAGGCACATAAGTAAAATAGGTGCCAGTTTTTTGAAGTCCACGCTCATTCCAGAGTGCTGCAGAAACTGTAATGGGCTATTATAGGATTTGTGGTGTTGGGGGAGGGGGGGCGGAGGGGCGCTGTTATCATGGAAGGTAAGCGTCTGCCATCCGGAACTTGAGGATGCTGGCAAGCTGCGAATGACATCTGAAAGGGTTCCAGAAAGTGTCGCAGACTGGAGCAGCAGGGAGGAGACAGACAGACGGGTCTGTGCTGAGCCATTTGGGGAGGCAGCAGGGCGACCGGGATCCACTCGAGACGGGCCTGTAATATGCATGCCGAAGGGGGACCGGAAGGTGCTCAGAAATTATTCACTGGGCCATAGTGCTGGTAGGGTTAAGGTCATTTGTTTTGAGGGTGTGCTTGTCAGCGTGTGTGTTCCTTGTGTGGGAGGGGCGGGGAGGGCGGCAAATTTAATGAGATAAAGCGGAAATTTGATGACATGGACTTGTGTGGCACGAGTGAGCTGCTGGGAAAAGCAAACAGGCTTGGTGAGGGGCACTGTGCCACCCTGACCTGAGCTCTGGATGTCATCAGACACACAAAGGCACCAATGGTGCTGCCCAAAGGAATGACAGCTATTCATGGAGGGTGGGCCACAGATTTGGGTGTGGCACCAGTCGGGAATACATGTGTCCAGCAGAATTCCACACTTCCATGTGCATCAAGACCCAGCCGACATGGGCATCCATACAGCTTTTAGAGATGACGAGTGTGAGGCTTCAGAACTGACAGCCTTAAATGCGGTTTTTCTCATCGCTAAAGGATTAATGCGTCCAAGCGTGCTTCTTCCTTAGGGTGTCAGCGAAGTCCAATACCATGCAGACTGCTAGACAGAGTATTCCATAAAGGACGGAGGAAGTCAAGCGCTCCATTTGTAACCCGCTACATCTGCTCTCTGGTACGGCCGTACTGCCAGTAGGTGTAGAAGGGATACTGCATCACCCTCCTTCTGCTATAAATCCAAACTAATGTCAGGCGGAGGAGCAGGTCCTAAGTCTGAATTAGCGTGGAGGTATATGGAGCCAGGTGCCTCATAGGACAATGACAAACATGCACTTTCTGTGCTTGACAGAAATGTTTCAGTGTTTAAATGGGATCGCGTGGCTTATTTCTCTGCAAGCCGCACATTTGATCTATAGGGGATGGACTTAAGCTGAGTTTTCAAAGTGTGATGCATAAAGGAGGATGTATCACAGATGCCTGGGTTTGGATGTAGGTCTGTGGAGGCACTGTGGTCCGCAGCATGACGGGAAAAACTATGGGGATGATTTAAGGCAAGTGACGTTCCTGTCGAGCTTTAAATCTTCACTCATCTCACAGCAAACCTCCAGAAGGCTTCCTCCGAAAGCTGCCCCCTCGATCGATGCAGGGCCCAGCTTTCTCATCGAGCCAAACACTGTTTTTTCTTCGAGAGGTGGCAAGCTGGCTAACTCCTGACTAAGTCAAGAGCAGGGCGTGCTTTAAGCAGCGCTAAACTGACTTAAAACCACAGTGAAGGTGGCCAGAGCTACCCAATAGCCAAGCTAAACATTAAACATGCTTTCATAAGGGCTGAGGGCAACTTGTAAGCAGTGACTTAGTGGGAAAAAAGTGCTCTTAACAGCAGAAGAATGCAATGTTTACCTAACGGGCATAACAGGACTCACACGCAGTGCCTGATCAATAAAAACAAGCGGCACTGAAATGGATTCACAGATTTCATTTAAAATTCCCTCACGCTGCAGCCTTTTTAAAATCGATAGCGGAAACTCCTGAATCAACAGGGATATTCTGGACAACCCATTTTTTTTTTCAGTTTACAGCACCATGGGGCACTTATTACAACAGAGTTTCTGCTGCTGGGGCAACAAGACATGAGATTAAGGAACTGAATTTGTGACCAACGTGTTTCCAGGGTCTAGTGCTGGACGGCTGTTATATCCTCGGGCAACAAGTCTAACCTGAACTGTGTCCATCGAAACATCAAATTGGGCAAATGGCAAAAGATTTACGGTAATCTGTGACACATGTAGTTTGATTTGGAAAAAAAAACAGGAAAATGAAACCGATTAATCTCACTTTGGTGTAAATAAAGGTTATTTGCTACCTGCATTCTGTAGCTGCTGTCACAGCTGAGGCACAGTACCCTGCCAGACTGGCCTGCAGGAAGGTGCACATGCCGAAACTGGGTCCTCATGGCTCTGCTTCTCAGCTGCCACAAAACCTCTCTGAGATCGTGAGGCATTTGCTTTTCATGACAGTCAGGCTCCATGGTAGAATGCAATATGCACAGATGTGTGCATTCTGAATTGCGTCGCATGTGTCGCTGTGTTTAATGCAAGTTAAGAGAGCAGGCAGTCCTGTCTCCAGGCTCCTGGTACGCAGCCGTATATGCCGGACCTTATCTTGGGAACAAATATGTCAACAAAAGGCCACCTCTTCATGCAATAGTCTGCTCGCGTATGGGCACCCTTCAGCTGTTCCTTCAAGGTCATTTCAAGGTTAGGCTGTCACAGAGGATAGCCATATTATCCCAGTGTTCACTCGACCTGCCTGGATCGGGAACTGGGGGACACCAGCATGAAATCAAGGCTGCCTCTCAATAAGGATATTTTTTAAGAAGTACCAGAAAGAAGTAGTGTGTTTTCTTTCTTAGCGGAGAGAAGTTGTGTAAACATATCAGGGTTGTGCATGATGCATGGTGAAATGTGTTTATCCAAAGGTTTTTGAAGTGTTTAGCAGGCTTGGCCTGCATGCAGTGTCAGCCTGACCTTGAATTTCCCACTGGCCAAGTGATAATTTACAGCGTAACTGGTAAACAGCTTAACCGAGAGCATTTTGTCATGTGAATGTCTCTCTTCCTGCTACTCCTTCGTCATTTGTCGTTGGTCATTCTGTCAAAACTTTTTAGAATCTTTTTTTTATCATGAAAAAAAATCACAGATGACAAATGGATAACAGAGGATCTTATTTTTTTTCTACGTATCACAGAAGTTAAGCGCTGCAGAGCTTGCGCTGTCATATTTTGCTTCACCGCTAGATGGCGAGCTAGTTTTTCCTGTGCCTCCGTTCGGATCGGTTAGCCAGGGCTTTACTTCTATTGTACCAGACGGGCTGCTGCTTTTTTGTAACGGTAAGACCTGTTTTTGAAGTGCTGGTGTTTTCAGTGCATGTCAGCTGTTCATCTGCGGGGCCAAACTGCAGCTTATAAAGCTACTAAGAAGAAATATAATCTTGATTCTTTTTTTTTTTTAGCAGCATTGACACTATGGTGGATTAGTTTGGCCAGTTCTTATGAATGATTCTCCTTGTCTGTGTTACTAGATGGGTGACTTATTAAGAAAATAGAGCCAGGAGTTTAAACGTGGGTGTGTTTATATATAATTATAGTCAGCAGGCTTTATGAATTTACCATCGACGGTCTTCTTATCACTGAGAACTGATTTCAGAGCACTGTAGCCAGCCCTTAACTCTGGTTTTAAATCTATTTGGAGGTGCTTTATGACTGAACTTGTTTATTCTATGCTGTTTATAATGGATAGAGGGGGGAAATGCAGCTTGGAAATCATGTAATGCGTGCAAAGCTTCGCAGGAGCCACAATGGGCTATTCACACCCGTCAGCTGACAGCCCCATGACTGCCCCAGTGAATACAATACTTAATGGCTTCATGACTGTACAGGTTCCGCTTACGCTGTCACACACGCTCTCCCTCTGTGCATTTCCGCAGTGAGGATGGGGTTAGGTGTATCGACTGAGGACAGGGAGAGGTACAAGGCTGACATTGGGGCTCACCTTTACGCCGCCATGAAAGAAGCAGGGGGCCTTCCGGATGTGGGCATTGACCAGGCCCTGCTGGACAACGCTGACCTCCGACCACCGGTGGCGCTGCAGGTATTTAGGGTAGGAGTAAAAGATCGGTAGTGTTGGAGGACTTTTTGGTGGGTTTGTAATATTCCTGCATGACTTTATGTTTAACAGTTGAGTTATGATAAACCTTGACATGGTTATGTAATACATGGTGAAATATTGTTGCAGAAGGTTTGGTGGTTGTGTGAAGGGTGGTGAAATGTCGTTAATAGGCTTTGTTGAATGATGTGAGGTAATATACTACTGCAGGATTCCTTCAAGCAGCTCAGGAAGCATGTGGATGCCAGGGGTCCAGCTTACCTGAAGGAGCTGATGGCCAAGCTGGTTGTTTTCACTGAGGAGCCCCAGCTGATGGGCCTGCTGACCCTGGTGATCTCCATGGTGATGGAGACGGCCTACGCCTCCTCCCGCAAGCCCCCGCCGGGCGTGCTGGTGAACGGGAAGGTGTCCGAACTGCGGGGCCTGATCGAGGAGTACCTGAAAAGGTGCCGGATGCACGAGTCTGAGGAGGCGGAGCTGCGGGAGGACACGCGGCGGCTGGAGGCGCAGCTGAGCTACCAGCTGACGCAGATGAAAGGCGCTATACTCAGCGAGGGCCCCGCCAACTCCTGGGCGCTCAAGCACTGGGTGAACGGCGCCGTGCTCCACGCACAGATGCTGGTGCAGCTGGCGCGGATGGACGGGCGCGGCAACGGCCCGGCTCGCGCAGCCCTGGCCGGGTACCGCAATGACCTGCGTGAGCTGCTGGCCGCATACCGGCGGCACAAAGCCGCCACCGTGTCCGTCTCGAAGTGCAGGGCGGGACAGCCGCCAGACGATGCCCTTGGTGACGCCGGGACCGTGACGGGATACTGCATCTCTGACAAGGAGCTGGGCGTGTCTGCCGCGGTGCCGCTGCCGGACGGCGCGCTCCCGGTCGGGGCATGCGTCAGCACCGACTGCTGTGCCGAGGCCTACCTGGACCATATATTCTCCCACCACCCCCAAATCGCTGGCATGGAGCGGTACTTCTCCGAAACTATCAACAGCCTTCTGGATCCCCCACAGGCAGACGTCCCGCCTCCTGCTACCAGCGGCCAATCAGTGTAGATTAGCGCTCAAGTGACCGATAGAATAAAACGGTGCCTATGAAGTAATGAAATTAGTCAGTTTCGGTGATCTGTCGTTGGGATGAGCTCATAAGCTCCCTGTGTAGGTGGGCTCACACGACGGCAGGAGACGATGCCTGTTAAAGCCAAACGCTTTACGCCTTTGAATATTTATAAGGCGTCTGACTTGTCTGTAGATTCTGCTTTGCGTGAATCTTTCATGCTCACGATTTAAGTTAACAAACTAAAAATGAATGAATTCAGATGGTTGCATAAGTAAAAATGGAAGAAAAAAAAACTTGATAGAAAAAGAGGATCAGTATTTAACTTTGGAACTGGGAGAGTGTTACTCTGAGTTCCTAGTCTAAATGTCTCCTTCCAGGACAAAAGCCCATCCGCATGTCCATGGTGTAACACGACCTCTAACTCCGTCTGTGACCACCGCGGTCTGGTGGGAGAGGCTCTCTGTAGTGTTCCTCGATGAGTAAAGCCCCACCTCAACGTTTGCACATTGAGAGACGGCCAATCAGCCGCTCTGCAGCGTGCCGTTATTACTGCCATTTTGTTCCAAATACAGTAACATTTCTGTTACAGACAATCAGATTGGCCATCGCTGTTTTTAACCACGTGTTAAATGGTTTACAAACTGTATAATTATGTACCAAGCATGTCTATAATGACCTGTGTCTTGATGATACTCATAATAATCGATACTTTATTGATCCCTGTGGGGAAATTATCTTTACGCCTCCCTCAACTTGCTCTTTGTAGAGAAAGCTGTCCGTGAAGGGCAACCATCCGTAGGAAGGCCCAGGGAGAGAAAGGGTTAAGGGCCTTGCTCAAAGACCCGCAGACGTGCTGAGGCTGGGTTTGAAGCAGCGACCTTCAGATTACAGGCACACAAGCTTAGCCCACTGTCCCACTGAATACCTGCAAATAAAAATCAAACTACGATGACGTGATTGCTGTTGGAGTTTTGTGTAATCTACTTGCTGTCAGCGAGATCCGGTCATGATGAAGATGATTCTCTTTCTCCTGGATGAACCACATCTTTGTTTTAACGAGCTGTGTCCAAGTCCATTGAACATTCATGGTCTAGGTCATATTTTGCTCATGGTGTCAGCAACCTCAGTATCACCGTTCGCAGTCTTTTGAGGGTTATATATGCATATACAGTTTTCTGTACCCTCACTTCTCACATCATGATGGTCCAGAAGAGAACACTGTGGATTAGCATTGCCACTGCAGACCCACTTGCAGCAAGGTGTTGTAGAACCTTCTTATTCCCATCTCCTTCACTCAGGTCCACAGAGGGCTCAAATGAGGTACGAAGCAGCAGCAGGAACAGTGTCCGAACACTTCCTAAGCTGTGTACCCCTGTAGCCGATCGTGTTCTGCACTTCCAAGAACAACATGTCGTCTCCCACGCAGCTGGGAATTCTGGGTAATGGCCAGGTGCCACAATTACGATTGGCTTGTCCAACACGGTGTTTACCCCAGAATGAGCTCAGCTTTATCCAGCTGGCCTAGGTGTCCCATTTCGCACAGATAACACTATCGTGTGTAAGTGACTCTGCTTAGGAATCACCTGAATCGAATTTGGATGGAACAGAGCGGGAGGTGAACGGCCAAGCCACTCCCACCGACGGTTTACTAGGGAAGTCAAAGACTGTTTCTGTTAGCATTTATCAGAGTCCACTGGGGCGAAGCAGCCCCAGCTTCTGCGACGCTCACCCCTCCCCTGCTAGATTGGCCCGACCAACCCCCCCCCCACACACTGGCACCATTAATGCGGCTGCAGTGCCATCGATTAAGAAGAATCTCTATGCGATGCAAATAATGAAGTCCGTGACCGATTACGGTCTTGCTTGAGAGGTCCGGCGGTCGGGGCCGTGCAGTTAATCACCCTCCCCCATTTCATTAGTGCTTGCTGCTTCCATTTTAACGAGATGCCAAGGACAATGGGTGGCGCCCCTGTCCAGTGACCCCGGCTACTTGAAGTTATAATCCTAGGAATCCAACCCAGTCCAGTGCAAATGGGTAGGCTGGTCCGTAACATTACGGTGTCCCAGGCTGCCAAAGCCTCCCCACAACCACCTTATCACGGGCTTTTCATTGATGGCCATGACCCCAAATCCTCTGTGGTCCACTTGAGTGCCAGTCTACACCGATTGGCTACTGCCAGCAGGAGGCGGGCCTTGTGGTCTGTTTTGAAAGCCCACACTGCCTGCACCACACTGCCGGCACGAAGGGGAGGACGGCGGTGTTTTCCTTACAATTCTGGCATGCGAATCCTGTTGGCAGGCTTATTTCCCACGTGCCCCCATTACTGCAGCTCAGTATCCCGTCAAGCACCCGGCGCCGGCAGCAGATGAAGGAGACGGCAGCTGGACGAATCTGTGATGCACATCATTTCTTATTTCACATATTTTAGACATGTATTTTTTAACCTTACCTGTCTAGCCTTTTTCTTCAAGTTTTACTTTAGAGACTTTTCACTCTCAGCTTTTGGGTCAAAAAAGCAACTTGAACTCTGATGGCTACAGTGTTTAAATGGCCCAACTGGTTACATTTTCCTTCCAACAAACTCTTAACAGAAATAAGCCCCAAATTACTACCTGATTGGTTGTCAGGATATACAGGAAAAATGACCATTTGGTATGTCTGTTCAAACGGCTAGCGTCTGTTTTCATGGCGCCGAATGTCCAGAACTTTCCTTCATGTTATGTTCATCTTCTGCCCCAACACCAACAACCTCAGTACAGCCCCAGCTCCTTTTCCCATCTCCGTGTCACCCGGCTCTGTTTGCCGACTAGATCGGAGCGACTCTCGCGCTGCAAAAGCGGCACCTTCAGAGGCTCCAGTGTAGGAAATTTCAGGAAAAATATCAAAGCAGATTACCTGACAAAAATGTGGCATGTCCGTGTGGCAGCCTGCGGAGTCCACATGAATAATTTGTTCCACCCCGTCTTTGATCCTGGGCGATCCTGGGAGTCCACTGTGGTCAGAAGCTAGAACTGGGGTCTCCAACTCTGGTCCTGAATAGCTACTATCCAGTAGCTTCTGGTGAGCCAGGTGGTATTTACGTGAGAACAGGTGTGGCCAGGTAGGATGGAAACCCTACTGGATAGTAGCTCACCAGGAACAGAGCAGGAGACCCCTGAGCTAAAGAAATGAGTATTATGAGAACTTCCATCACATTATGTCATCGCTGTTGAATAGTCCGGTTTACGTGCAGTGACTTCAATCAGGCAGTGGGCCCACCTGTGCATCACTCCTGTGATGGGTTTGAAGTGAGTGCCGTGGGCTCTGAGTGAGTGGATTGACATTTTGATGATATTTTCAGGATGGGCTTGCAGAACGCATGGGTTTTGTATGTTCTTGACTTTGGTTCAGTTGCTCAGTGTCATTGCGTCATTTTCCCGGTGGCTTAACTGGATGGCCCAGGACCAGGCAGGTCTCAGATCAGACTCAGGTCTGTTTATTTCTCTGCTTAAGACCCAGTGATGCCTGTTTCTTAATGACCTTATTTATATTAGTGTGGCTATGTTCTGTGTTCTTGGGAATTGACAATAGATGACAGGGAAATTATTAGGTGACAGGGAAACTATTAAAAACAAGAGATACAAATGAGATGGGGTCCACAAAAAGGCGAAGAGCTGTTCTGAGGTGAGATCTGCTACATATTTTGATTTGCTTGTCACATCTCAGCTAATTAGGAGCAAGGGAGATTATGGCAGCTGCCAACTTCAAATTACACTTCTGGGTTAACCTGCAATCTGCCTCATGAGCTCATCAGTCCATATCTGCTACCCCAATCAACAAAATTCTGTAATTCAGACCGGGCCCTAAATTTTGACCACTGATTTGTGTTCAGACATCTGGCTTATAGTGGACAATTACTTTGGACCCAGAATTTGTGGTGCATCAGTAAGGCACTCAAAAATACTTCAGCTAATGGCAGCATTTCATCAAAGTGATTCGCAGTCTTTCTCAGACACCGGAGGCTGAAGGCGCGATCTTTGATTTGATGATTATGCTCAATGCCAAGTGGAGCTAAGTGCAGCAGGTAACAAGAAGAAGCAAAAAGATGATGAAAAGATGTACAGGCATTATGAGGGACAGCCCTGTCAGAGATGCACTACCTAGCTATCTGTGGAAACACGAAAGACATCAGGCACCAGAGAAATTCTGCTTGATAATGGACCGGGTGAAGTGCTCGGCGATGTCGAAACTGGCAGCTCTGCTTTCTCAACGTTGGGTGCTTGACATTTTCTCCATGAGATTGCCAGATGTGTCGCCATGACTCAGAAGGTGCAAGGGAACGAGTGATTTGATTTCTGTGCACGTTCATCTGTGTGTGACAAGAACCCCCCCCCATGTTTAATCTGCCATGGACCAGTCACTGCATCCAGAATTCATCAGAGAGAGAGAGTGTAAATTATTAATCCCTTAGAGGGAAATTCTCTTATTACAGCAGCATTAGCAACATGTAACACCATGTAACATGCATCACACCAGGCATGTTTTTAAAAGTAATAATTAGATAAAGTTAATAAATAAAGATAAAGATGAACAAAATTATCCTAATGGTGTGCAAGTAGTTGTTAGTATTGTGCAAGCCGTGTGCAAGTAATGTGCAGGATATATTAGTTGCTTTGCATGTAATGTGCAGGATGCATTAGTAATTTGCCAGACAATGAGGTGAACTGCTGTACAGTAGAATGGCAGCTGGTACATATGATTTCCTGAAGCGTTACAGCAGGGTTGGATGAGTCTACTACTGAAGGTGCTCCTCCGTTCAAGTAGCATATTGTGCAGGGAATGATTGTCGTTGTCCGTAATGGAGAACAGCTTATTGATTATTCTGCTCTCCACCACTTACTCAAAGGTGCCCAAGGTAGAGCCAAGAACGTAGTCGGCTTTTCTGATTAGCTTATTAAGTCTCTTTTTGACTTTTGATGTGATCACTTTGGTCTCGGTGACGTTCGGGACAAACTGACTTCCTGCATACGACTCCACAAATGTCTTAGTTCTCTAGACCGTGTCGCCTGACCATCACCGACACACGCAGGCCTTGCAGTGCCTGACGAGTCCTGGCAAGATTCTGAACTGCATTGGACGTCAGAGGTGTGCAACGTGAAAAGGAACAGAGGTAGGATTGTGCCTCGTGGTGCTCCCCAGTCATGCACACTGAGCACTATCGGTCAGATTGTCCGTGATCCAACAGGTGGTGGCTGGTGGCCACCTGCATCCCCTGCATGCTCTCAATAGGACTGATTGGATGGTGTTGAATGAACGTGAGAAATCAAGGAACAAGATCCTTACAGTGCTCCTCGCTCTGTCCAAGTGACTTTCTGCGGGAGGTAGACAATAGCATAGACCCCACCAATGAGGCTGGCAGGCAGAGGGTCCAGATAAGTCCAGGCTCACCTGGGGTCTGTTTCACAAAGCAGGATTACTTGCTTAGCCAGATAACTTGCCAGATTTAAGGTAGTCTGAGCTAAATAGACCTTATTTTCATCAACTTACATTTAGCCCAGACTACCTTAAATCTGGCAAGTTATCTGGCTAACCAAGTAATCCTGCTTTGTGAAACAGGCCCCTGGGCTCTGATGTGGGTCAGCACTAATCTCACCAGGACCTTCATCACATGTCATGTGAGGGCAACGGGTCTGAAGTAACTGAGTGGAGAGGGAAGCTGCCTTTTTGGAACAGGCACCAAGCAGGATGGCACAATCACCTGACCCAGGATCAGGTTAAAAAGATGCTGCAGAATCACACGCAGCAGTCAGACACAGATCTGGAGGACCCTGGGGCTGGTGCCATCAGGGACTCCCACCTGGCCTTTGTGGAGTTTCTCCAGCTGTCTTCTCACTTTGCTAGTTGTGGCAGACGTGGGGCTGTGATGAGTCGGTGCTGGGGGGAGGTGACTGTGGGGGCGCTAAAGGGAGTGA